CAGCAGCTATAGACAGCCGGAGAGACGCCGGCCGGCTCATGGCTATACGTTACTACTTATGCAGAGTGGCCATCCGTGATCCATCTTGCGTAACCTATTTACCGGCAAAGTGGTATGACATAATCCCGTGCAACAGAGCACGCACTGTAGACCTCCGGTCTGTTCGGATACTATTTTAAATAGCCCGTGCTACTGCGACATACGCGCATGCTCGCCAGCTCGAGCCGGCACGCCGTTGTGCGCGCGGCGTTACGCAAATTAAAAAAAAAAAAATATATATATATATATATATACAGGAGGAAAGGAATCAGCAGCCTGTGTGAAACGAAAAGATTTTATCGCGAGACCTGCTCGTTTGAAAAAAAAAAAAAAAACTTTTTTCTTTTTTTTTTAATTACAACGTAAGAAACTATGCAACACCGATGGCAAAGATAATGCACGAACTTTGTATTCCGACGATGTATTCTACTACGTAGTATTTCTACTACGTAGAGCTTCGCATTGCAAAGTGGCTGAACAGGAATTCCTAGTGAGAGATCTCTGGAATTTTGCAATTAACTTTTGATACTCTTTTGGCTATCCGATTTAATTCGCGTGACTTTACGCTCTGTAAATTCGTGACGGGGACTCGTCAGCTTCTGATTAAGTGAAAATGGTTCCAAAGAATCCGTCATCTATATATCGAGATATCCAAGTCCTTCTAGACTAGAACATACCGCGCACTCGATCAAACAGACTTCACGATCAATTTCGTCGAGCTGGTAATCTCGAAAGACGAAGAGAGACGAGGAGAAGGTTAGAGGGATCGAGGGAGATCGACCACCTGCTGCTGAGCGTGGCCCGAGCAACTAGACCAATGAATTATACCTCGGATCTCGTCTCGAAATGTCAGCAGCTGTTGTCGAACAGAAAACAGTTTCGTCTGCGATGGCGGAGGGGGTCGAAGGAAAAACGGGATATTCTGGATTTTGCCGGGCGGACGTAGAGAAAGAAGGAGGATAAAACGCACGGAAGATAAGGCCGCTTATACTTACAACCGGAAGCGTCAGTGGCAGGACGAGATAGCACACGAACGATCGTGTGGTATGAAGGAAACATCCGCGTCAGCCAGCTGGACAAGCCTGCACGCATACCGACACTTGTTTACATCGCGAACGGTTGTTGCGGATGCGCCCTGTATGTACGTGTGTGAGGAGCCGGGGCCAGTTTAGGTTTGGTAAGCCGGTGGTGTGTGCCAGGCATATCTATCTTTGGATCCACGCACGAAGCGCGCGCGTACACACACCGGCCATCTCTTGCTCAATCGTCTCACGCCCGTGTCGGTGACCAGTGACACCGTTAAACGCGACCATTATTTCGAATGCGCCCCGCGGGTCGGATATTTCCGTGGTGACCGTAGATAGAGCCGATGGATCGCGCCGTTAACGACGAAACGCACTCCCGCCGTGCAACGTATTACACGTATCCCAGTGTCGTGCTATCTTTCAGCCGCGGTGAAATGTACGCGTCAGTGATCCTCAACTTTCGCCGGCCGTGGCCAGTTTGACCGTGTGCTCTCTCTGTTGGGTCATCAGAGTGATCAGGCCGAACGACGTTTGGAAGCGTGGTGAGCGTTGTTTGACAAACGTACGACCGCGATAAGAGCTACGGGGCAATTCGCAGGGGGGGGGG